CTCCAACATCTAGGATGCTGGCCTGTGACATGCAGTTGGTCAACTGAACACATTCCCATTGAGGACTTGAATTCTCACTCCCTTGGTATAACTGGCACTCACTCTAGAGTCATCTATGATGGCAGTGGGAGTATCCTGGGAGCAGTCAGTTTGTACCTTCTAAAAGATGGTGTTGCGCTTTCTGCTTTTTGATTCTCCAGGGCTCTCCCAATTCCGGTCCACTTTTCCTGCCACCATTACCTGATGGTTCTGGAAACCCAAGAGTCATTTACTATCCCTTTTCTACTTAAGGTAGAAAAGCTGGTTTCTTGTTTGCAACCAAGAATGTTAACTGATACAGAGTGCTTTGTATCTGTGAAACAGCTCCATGTAGGTTAGTACTTCTGGTCTAAAACACAACTTGATCTTCTATTACACAGGATATACAAAGAAACTCTAGCTTGTAGGATCATAGTGATTTTAGTTATTATTTGATAAGCAGATTGGCTCTGAGGAAAACAGCAATTTGGGAGGCACTGGAGCTGCCTTTTAAAAGACAGGTATAAAATACAATCATTATCTTCTGTATATGACTGCCCATTTTTTCCTGGTTCTGATACTACTTGATCTTGGTATAGAACAGAAGCTCATCCCCATCTTCCAAACAGCTGTCATCATAAGCTGTCATAGTGTGTCACTGTGACAAAATAACTGAGACAATCAGGTTATAAGGGGGAAACATTAATTTTGGTTCATGGTTTCAGAGGTTTTAGTCCATGCCTTCTTGGTGCTGTTGCTTTGGGCCTGTGATGGCGTAGTACATCATGGCAGGAGCACATAGAGAAAGAGTCCTGTTTACCTCATAGCAGCCAGGAGGCAAAGGAAGTGTGTGTGGGAGGGGCCAGGGTTTCATATCCCTTTCCAGGGCACAGATCCAATGACCTAAGTTCTTTCCCCTAGGCCCCACCTTCTAATAATGCCACTGACTGTTGATCAAGCCTTTAGCATGTAGACCTTTGGGGGACATTTAAGATCCACACTACAGAGCCAGGTATGGTGGCACATTCCAGTCATCCTAATGACTTGGAAGGCTGAGGCAGGAGGATTGCAAGTTTGAGGCTAGCCTCAGCAACTCAGCGAGGTCTAAAGTAACTTAGTGAGACCCTGTCTCAAAATAAAACATAAAAAGGGCTGGGGATGTGGCTCAATGGTTAAGTGCTCCCTAGGTTTAATACAGACCCAACAACAACAACAAAAAAATCAAACTATGACACTGTGTTTTCTTGGCTGGGTTTCTGTCCCAGCTAGGGAGAGTTTGCTGAGGCCAGGGTATAAGCCACTTCTCTAGCTACTCACTTACCCAAGGAAGCTTTGGCTGCAGTGAAGTGAGGCTTGCTGAATATACAGCAAACAGGTACTGTTTAAAGCTACATGTTGGTAGAGTCAGCCTCTTTGTAGGATCAGCCTTTCTGCCATGCTCTTTCTCCCATACCTCCCCTTTCTTGTTATACTGAGGCTTCTTTCTTTGTTCCATTCTTTATTCCTGACCCTTCCTGTTGCCAGGCCTTCCTACCCTGAATCTGCATGTCTTCCCAGAGCCCTGTTGGTTTGCTTTTCCATCCCTTGAATGTTCATGAATTAGAATCTGTTCCTCTTGCTAGGAAAATTGGAAGTCCTTATGTAGTAGAATGAAATTGAGCTCCTATCTCTCACCCTGCACAAAACTTAACTCAAAGTGGATCAAGGACCTAGGCATTAGACCAGAGACCCTTCAAATAACAGAAGAAAAAGTAGGCCCAACTCTCCATCAGGTCAGCTTAGGAACTGAATTCCTCAACAAGACTCCTAAAGTACAAGAAGTAAAATCAAGAATCAATAAGTGGGATGGTATCAAACTAAAAAAACTTCTTCACAGAAAAGGAAATAATCAAGAACATGAAGATAGAGCCTATATAATGGGAGAAAATCTTTACCACATGCACCTCAAATAGAGCATTAATCTCCAGGATATACAAAGAACTCAAAAAACTCAGCACCAAAATCCCCAAATAACCCAATCAATAAATGGGCTGAGGAACTGAACAGATACTTCATAGAAGAAGAAATACAATTAGTCAATGAATATATGAAAAAATGTTCAACATCACTAGTAATTAGAGAAATGCAAATTAAAACCACACTGAGATTCCATCTCACTCCAGTCAGAATAGCAATCATCAAGAATACAAATAACAACTGTTGGCAAGGATGTGGGGAAAAATGTTCATTCATACATTGCTGGTGGGAATGTAAATTGGTGCAATCACTCTGGAAAGCAGTATGGAGTTTCCTCAGAAAACTTGGAATGGAATCACCATTTGATCCAGTTATCCCAATCCTTGATTTATACCCAAAGGACTTAAAATCAGCATACTACAGTGATAGAGTGATATCAATGTTTATAGCAGCTCAATTCACAATAGCCAAGCTATGGAACCAACCTAGGCTCCCTTCTTCAACTGAATTCCTCAAAAAGACTCCTAAAGTGCAAAAGTAAAATATGTAGTAGAGATTTCATTCTACTACATATGGATTTCCAATTTTCCTAGCAAGAGGAACACATTCTAATTCAAGAACAGATGAATGATAAAGAAATTGTGGTACGTATATACAAAGAAATATTTCTCAACCATAAAGAAGAATGTAATGTAACTAAAGCATTTGCTGGTAAATTGATAGAACTGGAGAATACCATGCTAACTGAAGTAAGATAGTTCCCCAAAACCAAAGGCCAAATATTCTCTCTGACATGTGGATGCTAACCTCCAACAAGGGAGGGTGAGGAGGGGAATAACAGAAGTCCATTGGATTAGACAAAGAGGAATGGAGGGAAGAAAGGGAGAAAAGGAAAGACAGTAGAATGAATTGGACATAACTTTCCTATCCTTGTATATGAATGCATGACCAGGGTAACTTCACATCATGTACAACCATAAGAATGGGAATCTAATTAGAATAAGTTTTATTCCATGTATGTTTAATATGGCAAAGTACACTCTACTGTTATGTATATCTAAAAATAACAAATAACAAAAAGAATGGGTTCCTCTTGTGCTCTACCTCCTATCATGTCCTCTTCCCACCCTTTAATGTTGCTTCTCTTAGTTTCCTACCTCCCTAAGTGCACTTTCACTACTTTGCAAACTTCATGCAGGTAGAAATCAAGTCTGATTTTTTCCAAGTGTATGCACAGATAGCAGACAAACAAGATAGTGCTTGTTTGATCCAGAGCCAGAAAGGACTCAGAGAATATCCATCAAATGAAAGAATGACTACTGAATGAATAAATTCTCAGTGGTCTTCCTCACTATCTGATGGGCAAATTACAGCCTCTGTTCTCTTTTGAAGTATTGTCTTTTGTAGAAGAAGGAGGTGTCTTGGGTAAAACGACAGAATGAATACATGTGAAATCCCTAACTAGTGGGATTGGCGCAGGACACATTTTTAAATTCTGAATCTGATTTGTAGTCACTATCTCAAAGTACCCAGTAAGCATACATTTCCTGTAATTCCTTTTATCTGCAACCTGCCCATCCCAACCAGAGCTTCCTAACTTAGATGGGGAGGATGTGGAACTGGGAGGTGGGATAAAGCATTTTAGAAATGTAGGAAGGGGCATTTTCATTTTTCAGCAAACGGGGACACAATTTATTGACATTTAGAGGCTGGGAAGCCTGGAGACCAAGTGTCTGGGACAGTACCATACAAAGCCCTGAAGAATTTTTGGTCCCTATCCTTTGCCCCAACATTCAAGTATGCAAAAAATGCTTTTGTTTGTAAAAAGAAATTCAGTTTTAGTTCAAATAATTACAAACATATAAGCATTTGTGTGGGGCTTTAATATACTGGAATTTCCAGGAGTGGATTTCTTGGAAAAACCCATAGCTCCTTTACTAGAGTTGCTTAGCACTGCATAAAGTCATGCCACCCAAGCAATGCTTCCTGCAGGTGGAATTGAGTTGCTGGTAGGAGTCTACAGTCTGCTTTTGTAGCTGTGGTGTTCATGTTGATTTTACCATGGATGTAATCAATCCTTCTGACTGAAGACAGAAAATTGTTGATTGAAATGAAATGTTTAAAAATTATTAAAATTCACAAAAAGTGCAAAAGAAACATAATTAAAATTTCAAGGAGTCTTCAGATGTGCCAAACGCTAAAAAAAGAGTTTAGCATTTGGCGCTTTTGAAGTTATTAAAATTTAAAACTGCAGTAAGACTTTTGGGACACTGTATGATAAAAAGTGTTCACTGGATTTGATATAGTGGAGAACCGCTTATCTTCACTCTGCTTTCATCTAAAAACAACAGTTTATTGTCAAACCGGCGCCATGGTACACAAAGAAATAATCCCAGGGCTGGGGATGTGGCTCAAGCGGTAGCATGCTTGCCTGGCATGTGTGCGGCCCGGGTTCGATTCTCAGCACTACATACAAACAAAGATGTTGTGTCTGCCGAAAACTAAAAAATAAATAAATAAATATTAAAAAAAAAAAAAAAAGAAAAAAGAAATAATCCCAGTGACTCCAGAGGCCGAGGCAGGAGGATTGCAAGTTGGAGAGGGTCATTGACCAAAAATTAAAAAATAAAAAGCGCTGGGTATGTGGCTCAGTGGTAGGGCACCCCTGGGTTCAAATCCCAGTACTTCAAAACCAAAATAAACAAAAAAAGTAGAACAAAGCGAAAAGAAAATGTCTAGTCAAGAAAATGGAACGGAACAGGATGTAGTGGCCAGTGGCTGGAAGCCATCTGACCCCAGACTTCACACTCTGACCGAAAGTCGTTGAGCTGAGCAGGAAAAGCCGTTTCTCATCTCTTGTGGTGAGAACCAGGTGAGAAATGCAGCGCACACGGGATGATCCCACAGCACACTGCCAAGGCTCTATCCACAGTGCCATGCCTCTGCCTTTGCCAGTCCGGATTGCGCAACTCTGTTGGCACCCAGGGGCAGGAGCGTCAGGTGGCCTTAGTGTTCTCTGTTGACAAACGCAGACAGGGCCGCACTCCTGGGCACTCTGGGGGATAGGTGTCCCGAGGCCACCCTGCTGGCAGAATCTGGGTGGACTAGACCCTCCTGGTGGTTCTGTCCTCAGTTCTTCCTCAAAGCCCGGGTGTGGTCTCCCGGGGTGCCGGGCTGCGGTTCCAGGCGTGGCTGCGGAGAGCCCTTTCTTTTCCTGGGGGGAGCCTCCCTCTCCCCGCCTCCAGGCGGCCGGGCGGGGCTCCAGCCGAAGTGCTCAGTCCCAGCAGGGAGCAGCAGTTTTTGCAGTGCCAACGCTGTGGCCCGAGGCTTCGGTCACTTTTGGTAAGAGGCTTCCCACAACCTTCAGATCTCCAGATCTCAGGTTCTCCGTTGGGAGGGGTGGGGGGGGGGCAGTGGGCACTCCTGGAGCTGGTTGTTGGCCTTACTTCCCACCATCAGCTGGGAGCTCGCAGACCCGGCTGCCCCACCCTCCACACAGCTTCTCTCTTCCCTTCCCCATCCCCCGGACAGCAGCAGCTCACGCTGCGTTTGTCTGGAACTTATCTCCTGGGACTCTGGCTTCTTTCTTGCAGTGTTGGAATCTCCGGGGACACCGGAGAGGCTGACCTGTGAGGGACAGTTAAAACCGAGGTGTCACTCTTAGCCGAACCCTCCCCCTCCCTGGAGGTATCCGTGATCTCCGTGTATGGGAATTTCTGGTGCCTTCCACTTGTTGACTCACTCAGCACCACGCCGAGTTGGAAGTTGGTGCACAGCCTCAGGTGGTCCTGGATTGATGGATGTCCACAGTTCTGAGACATTTATCCACACTGCCAGTTTGACCAAGGGCACTCAAGGGGCAGCGGCCTGGGACCAGCGGGAAGACGGAATTTAAATCATGCACTGAACAGGAAATTAGTGCAAAGGGGGATAAAGGGTCTTTGGTGGAATTGGGGATCATTCTTTTCCTCTTCATTTTCTTTTAATTAGCAAAATTCTAACCTAGCTTCTTTCTCTAAGACACAATGAGCAGAAAGCCTCTGGATATGCCCATTGCTATAATGCAGGGTTTTGACCCATTTTGTGTCACTATCCCTTGGGTAGTTCTGAGAAGAATAAGGACCTTTTCTTAGAACAATACTTTTAAAAACATAAAATAAAAGGCAGAGGATTATAAAAGAAGCCAGTTGCAATATACTTGTCAAAATATTAAAAAGAATTTATGATATAATATGTGCTTTAAGATTAATGCATTATTAAATTATAAGGTTTATAAAGTTTTGAATCTAATAGCTATCATAATTTGGAAATAGTAGAGAATGTAAAAAATATTTCAAAATATAGGTGACACCTGTAATAAAAGAAAATATCAAATTTCTATTGCTGACAAGGTTATAGATAACTGCTAATACTGCTGTGGCTTCTGCATGCATACATAATTGAAGAAATATTAAATTTCAATTAGGTATTAGTGAAAATTAAGTTTTTAAAAAATCCAGTCCATGGGTCCCAGGTTGAGATCCCCTGATAGTACAAAGCATTATTCAGAAAGTTAGGTAACTTAGCTTCTAGCCTTGACACTCCATTAACTAGCATCTTGATGTTAGTTTTGAACTTTTTTGAGCCTTAGCTTCTTCACTGTACAATACAAATGGGGTACTACCTGGCACAGAGGTGTGAAATAAGTACCATTTATTAGAATCTGTCTGTCTCCTTCCCAAGCTTTGACTATCACCATTAAATCCAAACCTGATACTTGGAAGATATCTATCTATCTATCTATCTATCTATCTATCTATCTATCTATATATTTTTTTTGAGAGAGAGAGAAAGAGAGAGAGAGAGAGAGAGAGAGAGAGAGAGAGAGAGAGAATTTTTTTTAGTATTTATTTTTATGTTTTCGGTGGACCCAACATCTTTATTTTTATGTGGTGCTGAGGATCAAACCTAGCACCCCGCACATGCCAGGCGAGTGGGTTACTGCTTGAGCCACATCCCCAGCCCGTCAATAAATATTTATTAAATGAATAGGTGGGTTAGAGAAGGTTGCTTGTGACTACAGCTAAAAAGAAAATTCATCAAAGAGACAGCTGGTGGTTTGGGAATTGACCCTGTTTAAACTGTAAGATGCTGCTTTTTTAATTCACTGAACAAATATTTACATAAATACACCTGGTACTAGAGTGCTTGAAATGTCAGCCAGAGCCCATGGGTCTCTGTGTGGATCTGTGTGGCTGGTGTTCTGCTAGAGAAAATGAAATTGAGTGTTGATTGAAACCAGGATTCTTTTGCAGAAGTTTCTTCTCCATCTTGACTGCATCTAGGCTTGTTAATATGATGTGTTCAAATACAGGAAATGTCTTACAAGAAATGGAAATAGACTCATGAAGAGATGTTTCTGGACCTAGATATTATACATTCTTCTATCCTCTGTTCCTTTTCACCTTTCCTTGTTCACTACCAACTACAAATTTCCTCTCTGATTCTGAAGAGTTGGTAAATAGGAGCAGGATTGGTACCTTGCTAAAAACTGCCTAGACTATGCCTGAAACCAATTAGTCATTTTTTTTTTTTTTGGTTGTTGTTGGTACTGACACTTGAACTCAGGGTCACTCTACCACAGAGCTACATCCCCACTTTTTGTACTTCTAATTTTGAGACAGCTAAGTTGCTGAAGCTGGACTTCAACTTGGGATCCTCCTGCCTCAGCTTTCAAAGGTAGTGGGATTATAGGTATGTGCCACCACACCTGACCCAACTAGTTGCTTCTTAATTCCTAGCCTTAAAAGTGTATATAATCCAATAAGTATAGATGGTAATAATACTCCAGAAAAGTGGGTCCAGCCACCATCTCTGTGAAAGTACTAAATTAGAGTAGAGGGTGGGGAGACAACTTTGTGAAGAATAGGAACTTTAGAACACACTGGGGCTAGGTGCCTATAACTTTGTGAAGGGCAAATACTGATGTTATGTGCTGAATTGTGTCCCTCCCCCAAATTTATATGTTGATAATCCTAATCCCTAGTATTTTAGAATGTGACTGTATTTGTAGATAGGGCCTGTAGAGAGGTAATTAGGCTAAATGAAGTTATTAGGGTGGGGTCCTAATCCAATATAAATGGTGTTCATATAAGAATAAGAAGAGACATCAGGGGCATAGATGTACTGATAAAAGGCCACGTGGGGACACAAAAAAGGTAGCGAGTCAAGGAGAGGGGCCTCGAGAGGATCTTGTCTTTTTGGTACCTTGATCTTGGACTTTTAGCCTCTAGAACTATGCGAGTTTAAACCACCCAGTCTGGGTTTTGTCATGAATTCCTAGCAAATGGTTACCCTCTCTTTTAAGTTATGACTCTGACACCTCTGTCACTTGCTCTAGGCTGCCTCGCCTACTTACTCACAAGAGTCTAGTACAATTGACTTTCTGTAATTGTGTGTAGGTTATATGAAAGTCGTGTGTAGGTTATATGCAAATTTTATGCCATTTTATATAAGGGACTTGAGCATTAACCAGTTTTTGTATCAGTGGGGGTTCCTGGAACCAGTCCTGCATGGACACAAGGGATGACTTTACTCCACACAGACACTCTGAATGGTCCTTTGGATCCTGTCTGGTGTCATTAAAGCCTTACTCACCTTCATGATTCTGTTAGGAAAAGAAGAACTTGGCATCTTCATTGAATGATTCAGGCTAGCTATCATGCTTTGTACATAATAGGTGCTTTATATTTATACATGGTGGGTTCTGAGGTGATGGTGTTAATGACCATTTTTAACTACTGGAAGGAAACTCCCTCCTACTCATAATGAATTTCCAAGCCTAGCTCAGGGAGCTTTCATTTGGTCTATTTGGAAGCCAGCAGCCCCAGCTTTATCTACATCAATGGAGAGGAAATACCTGTAATTATCCTGAGAGCAAATCCTACCCTCTGGAAGGGATACGATGGATTATATTCTATGGTACTTTCTTGTTCTTGGCTATTTGTTCCAAAGTGGCCCATGGTGTCTCCATAGGAAAACAATGTGTCTTAACAACCACGATGTGTAGAGTTGAGATTGTAAGTATTCCCCAAGAAAGTCCTGGGTCTTGGATATGTAAGTTTGTGCTTCTGTGAGCACCTTCATGATGCTTGAGACGCACAAGGGGCCATCTCATTCTCTGGCCATCTGTTTTATAGGATAATGATGGGCTTTTCAAGGTCTAGGTGATCAAATCTAAGCTTGTTTTGAATCACAGAGCAAGAAGGGCCTTTAAAGTCAAGTAGACACATCCACTTATTTTAAACTCAGAGAAATGAGTCTCACAACCTCCATTTCCTCATTTATAAAATGTTGATGATAGCTGGGCATGGTGGCACACACCTGTAATTCCAGCATCTTGGGAGGCTGAGGCAGGGGGATTGCAAGTTCAAGGCCAGCCTGGGCAACTTAGGGAGACGTTGTCTAAAAATAAAAGCATAAAAAGGATGTAGCTTAGTGATAGAATACCTCTGGGTTCATGCCCACTACCACACCAAAAAAAAAAAAAAAAAAAAGAAAAGTTGTTGTGAGAAATTAAATTGTGCACTATAAAACGCCAGCCATGTATCAAACCTTCTGTAAATGATTTTTTCATATGTTTTTATTATGCCTGGGATCAAACACCTATCCATAGCAGCTGCCCAGTGAATCATAGTGGATCATGATGCAGGTGTGGAATTTGGGCAAAGAGACTAGGAAGTGTATTTTCTGTTCTGATTATGTTGCAGGTTTCGTAACCCCTGACATTCTTTGCCATAAAAATTCACAGCTCATTGGAACAATTATATTTGTTACTAGAACAAGTATTTGAATGCCTGCCTAGGAACCCCCATTTCCCTTTCTCTCCTTGAGAGGCACATCAAGTTTTAGAGAAGGAAGGGAACTTCAAAGCTATCAGACTCAGCTCTTTCTCCCATTGATAAAGATAGCATGGCCCAGAATGATGAAGGCCAAGCCCTTTCTGGAACTACTTGGAATGGGAACCTGAGACTCCTGACTCCTGACACACCCTCAGACGAAGCTGCACCACAAACAGGAAACTGTGTCATCTAGTTGGACATAGGAAAGGTGTGAGCTATTAGGAAACTTGATACACCTGTTACATTTGTACATCTGATTCTGTCCTAACCAGTGAAGGAGTGAACTTAGCATCTCTCGAACCAGGTTCAAATAGCAAATGTATAATTTGTAATTAAAGAGTCTTTCCTCATTGTGGTAAGACTTCACACACTGCATTCTAGGGAATGATATGCTTGAGTAGTTATCCTGTTTCTGTTTACAATGACTACATCCTTCAAAGTGTCCTTATGTGTGAGACTCTG